ACGACATTTCTACCATGCGACCGCATGGTAGAATTTGACTTTCATTTCCTGCAAATTGGTCCTTTTACTTGAATCTTCCACTTCTTTACATATTTTCTTCATTCTTCACATTCCATCATCCCAAAATGTCATCAATTTGTATTTGGCAAACTCAATTTCTTGATTTGTTTATCGGATCAACTTTTGGGTATTTGCACCTTGGTCCTTGAACTTTCACTTTGTGTCAATTTAGTCCTTTTTTGCGTCTTTTCTCATGTATTTCTCCATGTTCATCGGTGTTGCCTACAATTCACAAATATAACAAAATTAAGTCATAATTCAATCATTTTATTCGTAATTGAGTCATGTTTGTGACTTAAATACGTGTGCAAAAGCACACTTATCATAAGGCTTCACAACTTAAGTGTCTTCGCCTAGCAGATGCCAACTGATTAGCATTACACTTTGTTTGGGTGAAAATAATGCTTTTACCTCCTTTTGAATGCTCAATTATAAGAGTTCCAATTATAGCTGGTTTCTCTCGCACTTTTGTTGAAATTGCAAACTGTGAAATACCTTCAGCTAATTTCTGAACAGGATCTCTCACAAGGTCAATAGTAACCAAATTTTTTAACTTTTGTGTAAGCGTTGTAGCTGATAACATCATGGTCTGATGCTTCTGCGTCATATATCCCAGTATTGTCTCAACATCATCCCCAAATCCCATGTTAAGCATCCAATCAACATCGCCTAGAACCACAAACTAAATCTCTGATAAATTCTAAGAACCCCTCTTAATCAAATCTATAACCCCTCCAAGAGTACCAACAACCACATCAACACCTTGTTTAAGGGCATCCATTTGATATGAAATTGGCATGCCCCCATAAATGCACAGTGTGTTTAAATTTAGATCAGGCTCGTAGAATTCTTTTTCCACTTGGAATGCAAGTTCTCTAGTTGGAGTCAAGATTACCGTCAAAGGATTCCTTCCTCGTCCATGCTTCTCAATGAATCGAATAATCTTATCCAGGATTGGAATGTCAAATGCTAAAGTCTTCCCAGTTCTTGTTCTTACTCTGCATATCATGTCATGCCCCTACATAGCTGGTTCTAAAACAACTCCCAAAAATGGGAAAGAGTTTACTAACTATGATTATATTTGTCTGGCTTTCAAAATTGATAGGATCATACAGTAGACTATTAATGAATCCAATAGAAACTGCTCAAATTCTTCCTGTTGTTCCCCTTCAGAGGCTGATTTAGCTTCAATAATTCCAGTCATCATTGAAATTTTATCTTTTTCATAGCCCAATTTAATTTCATTGTTTCCAACCTGAGGTATTAATGATTCAATGCACATTGGCTGTAGTACATTATTCAGTTCAGCAACTATTATCTCAACATCGCTCTTCCTTTCTTCGATAGTTGGCCGATTCTCTGAAATTCTCATCTCCTCTTCTTCATTAACAACTACCTCCACCATATTACTGTTGAACTCCCGCTGTTCCTCTTTGGAGGCTGATTTACACTCAATAAATTCAACATCATTGAAATTAGTAGATCATGCTTCCTATTAATTTCTTCCATTATAACATCTAATCGAGAGACACCTAAGGATTGTAGCTGCTCTGATACCATTTGTTATGGTTGGAGCTCAACTTCAACCAAAACTAGCTAAATTCCACCCAAATTCAACACACAATTGAATATAATTAGCTAGGAATCAATAACCCCAGCTGGAACTTCATTAATTCAACAGACTATAATTAGACAGAAACAACTAATATACATTGTATTTCATCGATTGATACTTTCTATTACAATGCAGGGGCTTACAAGTAAAATAACTAATATAAAAGAGAAAGGGATCGTCAGCTGAGGAAGAAGAGATAGAGACAAGAGAAAAATTAGAGAAGGGAAGTGAAGAAATTCTAGACAGAGAGATAAAGAGAAAGAGAAAGCTGAAGAGAAGAAGAGAAATAGAGATGTCGACACAGAATTCAAAGAACGTGAAGAATAGGTGGAAAAGGGAAATAGAAGGAAGAAGAAGAAGGTGGAAGAAACCTGAGAAGAAACAAGAATCAGTGAGGAAGAGGGAAGAAGAAGGATACCTGAGACAAAAGGGGATTTTTCACGATCATCATTCATGCCCTCGTTCATCATCCCAACAAAATCATATAGAACAACCCTAGGCTTTGGGCTAGCCCAATAAAATACAAGCCCAAGTAACTAAAATAAAAGATAAATGGCCCAATTCATGACAAATAAAAACTTACTTTTCCTCAAAGAAAATGTTTTCCTCAAAAATAGAAAAAATTAGGTATATTTTCAAAAATTGGAAAATATTTTTCATGAAAAAAATGACCGTCAAATACTCCAAAAATTTGAATTCAAGGGCAATTTTGCATTGAAAAGTTTTCAATTAAACACACACTAACTTATAAAGATGAAAAAAGGGACTATAAAAGTACTAAAAAGTGCAAAACAAATACAAAAAAACACTAAAGTCATAAATTGTGATTCTTCAAAGGTTAATAATTAATTTTTTTTTTTTAAAAAAAAAAGGTCCCCACCTTTCAATATTATTGTGCAAAACATTCATATCTTTCATTTTTTGGTATTTTCACCCATTTTTTCACTTTTCATTACGAAAAGGTCATTTTCATTCAATTTCTCAATAAAAAAATAAAAAATAATACATACACCCTTCTATTTAAATAAATCGTGATTCTTCAAAGGTTAATAATTAGTTATAAAAAAAAAAAAAGTCCCCACCTTTCAATATTATTGTGCAAAACATTCATATCTTTCATTTTTTTTGGTATTTTCACCCATATTTTCACTTTTCATTACGAAAATGTCATTTTCATTCAATTTCTCAATAAAAAAATAAAAAATAACACATATACCCTCCTATTTAAATTAAAAAAAAAAAACAAATTGTAATTTTACACTCTAACTTTTTAAAAAACTAAAAATGAATCCAAATAAATTATTAGGAAGACAATCAACACAAAACGTCCTTACATTTCAATATTATTGTGTAAAAATATCCCTACTTTTTTTTTTCTCATTTTCACCTTTATTCATATTTCATTGCGGAAATTAGGGATGCGTGTGGGTTGGATTGGGTCGTGTCGAGTCGATTGTTTACCCAATCTGAATCCAACTCAACGTAGTTGGTTTAATCTAAAATCAAACCAACTCAACCCAACCCAACCCAACCCAATCCATTTATTTGTTTCAACCCAATCAAGTTTCGGTCGGGTTGAGTTGGGTTGATCAGTTTAGACATTAAAAATAAAAAAAATATGTTCAAAAATATAAACCTATCAACCACAATATTTCGACCATGAACAAAAACTTGAAATCAAGTATGAATAAAAATGCATATATTACACAAATTTTTATTGCACTTAAAGAAAAAAATAGCCTGAAACCAAGCCCTAAATTATGACATTATGACATCACATTTGCAAATGAATAATCAACTTAAAATTTAAAGTTAAGAATACCAAAAGGAATAAAGGCCAACGATTAACATCATGCCTAAACACAAATAAAGTTGGCGACAGTCAACGGGCTTGAACGAGAGAAAATAAGGGACCGCGGCATTTAGCTTTAGGGCTAGAGAGAAAGAGGAAGTGAGAGAAATGATAAGACTTTGTAAACTAGGGCCGCAAGGATTCACTTTTTAATTTTTACATTTTTATTTTTTTTTCAAGTAGCAGGTTGGATTTGGTGGTTTTATCGGTTCTAATGGATAAAAACCCATAACCCAACCTTATCCATTTTCTTCTAAATAAAATCCAACCCAACAAAATTTAATAAAGAAACCCAACCCAAACGATCAGTTTGGGTTAGTCAGTTTTCATGGGTTGGTTCGATTTTTGCCCACCCTTAACAAAAATCATTATTTCATTCATTTTCTCAATTAAAAGCTGTAAAATGATTAGTATACCTTCCTATTTAAATAAAAAAATAAAGAACAAATTGCAAATATACTTTCAAATTTTTCAAAAAACACAAATGAATTTCAAATAAATAATTAAAAAATGAGGATATATTCGTCATTTTACAACTTTTAATTGAGAAAATAGATGAAAATGATGATTTTTATAATGTAATGTGAAAATGTCAAAAAATGAAAGATATGGACGTTTTACACAATAATATTGAAAGATATGAACGTTTTGTACTAATTAATCTTTTAATAATTTATTTGGACTCATTTGTATCTTAAAAAAAGTTTAGGATTATAATTGCAATTTGTTTTATAATTTTCTTTTTTTTTGTTTTATTTAAATAGGAAGGTATATTTGTCATTTTAAAATTTTTTTATTGAGAAATTGGATGAAAGTGACATTTTTCTGAAATGAAAGGTGAAAGTAGGGATGAAAATGCCAATAAATGAAAAGTAAGGATATTTTGCATAATAACATTGAAATGTAAAGACGTTTCGTGCTAGTTATCCATTCTTCAAATGACCAAACATGTCAATAATTTTTATTTGGTTAAGTTAAGAATAAAATTGTCCTTTTAAAAATATAAATCTATGCCTTGTTTGGTTTAGATAAACATTAGATTTTTAATGAAAAAAAAATGTATAATTGTAAAGTTATAAATTCCATCAAATATTCATTATTAACTTTGACATAAATTTTAATCAATTTTTTTAGTTGAATCAAACCGGCGATAGATCAAATATAATGGTAAATAGTCCTATGGGGACTCAAATTTTACAAAACAAAAGGGATGGGATTGCAGACACCAAAATAATAGTTTATGGACCTACTTGCTACATTTTAAATAAATTGCAAAATAATTTTATATTTTGTTTTGAAAAGAAAAGAAAAAGAAAAGGGAGAACTTTTCATATTATCTTAATTTCTTCAAACCTCACCAGCGAAAACTGCTTTCTTTTCTTTATTCCGAACAGTCGCATCGGCTTCAATCTCACCGCTTCAGTTCTTATAAAAACATTCCTCATTGGCCTCTATTTTTCGCCACCACCCGCCATGGATTCCAAAGAAAATGACTATTTCTCTCATCTACCAGACACCCTTCTGTTCGTAATTGTCTCCTTTTTGCCATTCAAAGAAGCGGTGAGAACTTCCGTGTTGGCAAGAAGGTGGCGTAACATTTGGTATGCAGCCAAGAACATAGAATTTGATGAGAAATTCTTCGTTAAGAATGAAGAATCCGATGAAAATAAGGCCATGCAGAGGATGTCTTTCGTGAGTTTCATTAAACACTGGATGGATAACTGTGTAGAGACAGATTTACATAGTTTTCGTCTCGTGTTTTCACATTCAGAACACCATCTTTCTCAAATACAAGACTGCATTAGATTTTGCGTTGATCGAGATGTGAAGGCACTTGATCTTAATTTCTCTGATCCTACATGGAATGAAGATGATCTTGAGCAAATCCCAGAAACATTTCTCGAACTTTCTTCTTATGACTCACTCAAAAAGTTAGAATCGCTCAAGTTGTCTGCTTGCAATTTCAGGGTTTTTCAGTTCGTCACATTTTCTACACTGAAGAATGTTTATCTGGGATGGATTGAATTTCCTGGTAGTTGTTTCAAGAACTTGATGTCAATGTGTCCATCCTTAGAAACTTTGAACTTGAAGAGATGCTGGAACATGGAAAATTTTTACATTGATTCAGAAAAATTGAGAGTTTTTGTCATCGATAAATGCCTGGGCCCTGAAGTTATTATTCTTAATGCTCCATTCTTGAGTTTCTTTCAATATTCCGGGCCGTCTGTTCAGTTACAGATTGAATATCATCCGAGAATGGTGGAAGTAATTCTTGATTTCGGGCTTCAGACCGAATCCAATGAAGAAGGCGAAGGCGATATGCTTTATAATCTTCTCACTGAAATTTCTAGCGTTAGGGTTCTTACCATTTGCAGTTATATGCTTCAGGTAACTAATAAATATTTATCTCTTTTGCACTATTCTCGTGAAAAATTTATGAACTGACACATTTTCTTTGTTTTCTTGTCGATTTTTTGAAGCTAATAGTGACTGCGGACGACCCGATAACCCTAAAACCGGCACTCGAAAATGTTAAGCATCTAATATTGAAGACAGAGTTGCACATAAATGAATTTTATGGGATTACTTTCTTTCTGAAAAATTGTCCCAACTTGGAGATTCTGACCATCGATTTATGCACTAGGACGATTTTTCAGGTGAGTATTTGACGAACTATGATGCCATTTTGACAGATGATTTTAACACCTTGTATGACAGATTATGTCTGTAACAAAAATTAATTGGATGGATGTGTTGACTGTAGTTCAATAATAGAATGACATACGGTATTCTATTATCCAAGGTGTTAAATCATTTGACAAATCTGATACTGTTCTTCCATCTTTACACAATTAATTAGTTTTCTGTTTAACATTTATAGGACTACAAACCTCCTTTTACATTCGAGGAACATCAATTTTTGACTCGATTTCAATGCTTGAGATATAGAAGCACGATGTGCTTAAAGATGGTGAACGTGAAGGGATTCAAGGGAGAGACGAACGAACTCATCGTTCTAAGTTATTTGCTACGATTTGGTTCGGCTTTGAAGTATTTGTCGATCGGTCTATCGAAGGAAAAAGGGCCTAATGGCATTGACATGGAATCAACATACAGACAAAATGTACAACGTTTGACACAATTTGAGAGAGCCTCCCCACATCTGCAGATATTTTTGGTCACTGAGTGACAATGAAACACAAAGGAAATTGTACGGAAGACATTTATAATGACAATGAAAAACACATTCTTTGCTTTAGTTATTTAAATTGAATGAAAAGGATGGAATATTGAATGGGAGAGGTGAAAAATGGTTCTTTCGGCGCGATTATGCCTATGGAGGTTATATTTGATTTTTGGTGTTTCGAGAGTTGATGAGGTGCCCATTGTTAGTGTTGGTTCTACTACGACAGGTGGTGGGTAGTGTTTAGGGAAAAATATATTTTATTATTTTCTTCATAATTAAGTCCCGTTTGATAACAATTTTTTATTTTAAAAAATCAATTTTTTTACCATTATTTCATTATTCTAGTTGTTGTATTTTACTTTTTCACTCACAAACGAAATCCACTTTTCTCACTAAAAATAAAAAAAAAAATCAATTCTTATAAATTTTGAAGGTGATGGTTATTATGGAGGTAATATTTGAGGAAAATGTTAAAGGATTTAATCTCGTGTTCCGTTCCATAGGCAGAGATGGCAGAGCCTCTGCCCCCGATTTTGATGGCGGGCCCCCCCAGTGCAGAAAATCAACGACCGAGGTGTTTCCACCTCGGCCCTTGATTGGAGCCCGGGATTTAAGCCCGAGCTCCGTAGCACAGTCCAATATTTGATCATGGGTAGGGTGAATTGGGATAGGTGAGCATGGAGAAGATGAAATGTCTATATTTTTCCTAAATTCTATTTTGTTTGTTAATATGTATTTATTTAATTATTTTTAATGAGATTTACTTCTTGTTTATGAGAACGTCAGGACTACCTCTAAAATTTTTCAAATTTTTTTTTGTATTACCTTTTTTTTTTTTCGAAAAAATTCTTAAATTAACGAAAAGTACAAATCCCCTTTTATGCCCAAAATACCCTTGGATTTGCTGGAAAATATATATAAATACAACCTAAACAAGGGAACGAACGGGACAGGAGATCGCTCTGGTTGCCGTATATGATTGACTTTATTTTTATACACAATTTTTCCATGAAAAATATTTTTTAACTTTTAGTCATGTGATTATATTTTCTCAAAAGTAAGAAAAATGTTTTCTTTATCGAAAAGTGATTTTTATTTTTCAAGAGTTCTCTTTGTTTTCTTTATCGAAAAGTGATTTTTATTTTTCAAGTAATTCTCTTTCTCTCTCACACACACTAATAAAAAAGTGATTTTTATTTTTAAAGTAATTCTCCCTCTCTCTTATGAGCAATCCAGTGGAAAATTTGAATCCATTGAAGAATGTCCCAACTTCGCCTCCGACTTCAACAAGCTGAGTATCTGAGAGCTTGGATCTTTGCTCAAAGGACATCATTTTGTCCACAATGTTATGACAATTATGAGAAGGAGTGGACGAAACTTGTAGCCATTGAGAAGACGTTCTTGGAGACTGACAGAAAGCTAATCGACCATCTCTGCCTCTGTGGTTGAAAAATGCGAAAATCCAGAGCACCGATGCTAAAACAACAGATCAATCAGATGTCTAAAATACCTTGTTACAATTAATTTAGAATGAGAAATGAATCAAATGAAGCTGATCTTGATTTTCATCTTCTCGATTTTTGAGTGGGGGTGTGGGAGTTAGCTGCGTTGAAGAAGATGGATGATTTGGGCGCAGGTAGGGTAGAGTGGAAGTGGGGTGGTTTTTTGTTTTAATTCAATCATTTTAAATATTAATATACGAATGACAAAATTTCCCATATTTAAATTAGTCAAAGTATCCAATTATTTTATTTTTCAGGTCAATTAACGGTAACGCAAGGTTTTTATCATTCTGGACTCCAGTTGCTAATTTTATAATTATTTTATTTTTCAGGTCAATTAACGGTAGAACGCACGGTTTTCGTCATTCTGGACTTCAGTTGCTAATTTTATAAGGTTTGAGGCCTCTGGTGGCACAAACTGGAGGTTAAGATAAAACCTGTAAAAAATTCAAATATTTGAGATTGTTGCTGTAATTTTTCCTAAATTATATTCAATTGAATTATTTAAAATTTATTTTCTTTCTGTATAAATCTCTGTCTTGGACCAACCGTTGAGCCCAAATGCAGACTATGGACTAGTCTTAGCTGAAAAAAAGTCCATAAAAACAAATAATCCGAATCATTTCAAATTATTTTTATAAATAAATTCAAACTGCAAAAATAAAAAATTAATAAAACTCTGTTCATCTAAACTTTCACAATTCACTAGCAGATCTCTCTCTCACTTCCTTTTTTACCCAGCTTTGATTTTTGCTTTCATTTAGAGTAAGTAATCAGTTCACTTTACTCTGTCTCTACCCAGAAAAATCTTGCATTTCTTCAATGCTTCAAATTTTTAGTTAATTTCTCGGATTATTCACTCCATCTTCCTTGCGATTGAAATCGTGAATGTCTTTTATGAACTGTATTGAATTTGTTTCGAGACTTTTGACCAAAAATTTCATTAAAAATGAGCTCCCAAAGATCTTCAAAACCCTCAAATCCTTCCAACCAGTCGGGCCCTCCGAGATCGTCTTCTGCTTCATCTTCATCTTCTTTATCGTCCCATTTGGCAATGATTGAATTGAAGCAGAGAATCCTTACTGCGCTTTCGAAATTAGCCGACCGGGATACCCACCAGATCGCTGTGGAGGACCTCGAGAAGATTATTCAAGCCCTGTCCAATGATGGGGTTTCGATGCTACTCAATTGCCTATACGATGCCATGAATGACCCGAAGCCTGCAGTGAAGAAAGAGAGCATTCGACTCCTTGCTGTACTCTGCACTGCTCGCACTGATTCTGCTGCGACCCATTTGACCAAAATCATTGCTCACATTGTTAAGAGGCTGAAGGATTCAGATTCCCAGGTTAGGGAGGCCTGTTGCGATACAGTTGGCTCGCTGTCTGCACTATACTTGAAGGGTGGAGGAGGGAGTGATGGGGTGGCATCGCTGTTTGTCAAGCCGTTGTTTGAGGTGATGGGCGAAAATAACAAGGCTGCGCAAGGCGGAGC